TGCACATCACGCCCTCAGGTTTGTTTGGCTTTGAAGCTTCAGCCTGTAATCCTCATTAATCTGGACATCCAGAGGTTTGCACCCCGCCCTCTGCTTCCTTTCTACTAACCAGACCTTTCTTGTGACGATAACGCTGCTGCTCTGTCCCCCTCAGGATTTCTCCAAGGAGACCACTTGTGCTGTGATGTGACGCCTGCTCTCTGCCACAGACCTCGACGCCGGTCTGAACCCTGGAGCAGCTCGGGCCTCAGACTGCTGCTTTCTGGCTCCAGTAGTTATATTTACAGTAGGACGATGAGATGATCTCACCTGCCTTAAAGCAACAGTGTCCCTCATGTTTCGTCGCTCTCGCTTCACAACAGGAGCTTTGATTTTAATTTTTGTTGAAGTGTAATAAATAAAGCTAAAAGTTTCTAAACAAATGCAACTTGTGCTTATTTCCAGCAGAGATGCTGCAGGGGAACCACAGCCTAAAGTGCTGGGTTGTTTTCAGCTCAGCTTCTGGGTAAAAGCTGCAGGTTGGGTGGGTAGACTGGCGTGGTTGTCATGGTAACGAAACATTTCTCCCACTGAAGACGTCCAGATGAACAGAATCCAGCTTTTGGGATTTACCTGGATGATGGAGCACCAAGACACGGAAACTTTCTCAGTAACTCTGAAAGTTGCGCTGCTGGTCCAGCTGCTCCTCTGTAATCGCCTGCGTTTCAGTCGGGACGCGTCCATCCAGCACATCTCGACTAAAGCAGGCCGCTTTCACAGACCAATAGTTATCGAGCACAGACGTAACAGGCTGAGGATGTTTTGAAGCCTCCAGCTGAGGATTTGATGTCATCGTAATCGATGAGCGTAATCCTCTCAGAATGACACAAATTTACAAAATGAACTTATTGTTTTATTATATATGACCTGAAATGAGTGCCTGAGTCCACAAACTGACCACGAGCCACAGGTATCGCCCCCTGGTGGTCATTAGAAGATCTAAGTTGGGGATCTGTGGGACTGAACTACCACCTGTTTAACAATGAAGATGTGGACACTATACCAAGGCTAGCCTCTGTCGTTTTTTTTTGGGGGGGCGTTTAACTACAAAGCAGTTTTGATCTGCTCCAGTGCCCCCCCCATCCCCCCCATCCCCCATGCCATTACCACCAACACAAAACACAGGATAATAAACATACAGAGGAAAATAAAAGGAGTCATTGAGTCTTTTGTGGTGTAAAAGTTCATGGGGTCGTGAGCTCCGTCCTGAGCTGTGCAGACTTCCACCTACACCATCGTTTCCTTGCTGATGGCTTTGCTGAGGAAGTTTATGGGCGCCACCTGCTGGTTAGGAGGTGTCTGCGCCGACACAGGAACCCACAGTCGAACTCTCTGGTCAGTCGTCTTCCAGGTTTTGAAGAGATGCAGATGGTAGCGCACAGAAACCTGGCAAACACCAAACCAGCAAAGACGATTTAAACATGAAACACAATCACAATAAAGCGCACTATGCTGTCCACGACTGCACCAGAGCGTAAAACACTGACATTAAAACATCTTTCACTCCAGGTTGTTAATCAACCAAAGACCCAGACAGAGCTTTGGTCCACGCAGCTGGTAAAACTCAAACAGTTTTCTTTGAGTTTGTCTGATTTAGTCCTGAGCTCAAAATAATCATTGTGGGTGATTTTAGCATCCATGTAGATGCTAAACAGCTGACAGCCTGAACACAGCATTTAATGTTATTAGGCTCAATTAGCCTCATAAAGACATAAAGACCTGGATGGCCGCTAACTTTCTGCTTCTTCATTCAGATCAAACTGAGGTCATTGTACTCGGTGCTGAAAAGCTTAGAAATATGGTATCTAACCAGATTCTTACTCTGGATGGCATTACCTTGGCCTCCAGTAACACTGTGAGGAACCTTGGAGTCATTTTTGACCAGGACGTCCTTCAACGCACATATTAAACAAATATGTAAGACTGCGTTCTTCCATTTGTGCAACATCTCTAAAATTAGAAATATCCTGTCTCAGAGTGACGCTGAAAAACTAGTTCATGCATTTATTACTTCCAGGCTGGACGACTGTAATTCATTATTATCAGGATGTCCTAAAAACTCACTGAAAAGCCTTCAGCTGATCCAAAATGCTGCAGCAAGAGTCCTGACAGGGACTAGAAAGAGAGCAGATTTCTCCTGTAGTGGTGCTCAGCACCACCTGAATCTGCCGTCTCCATGATTTTCATTTAAATAATGATTTCAAATATATTTTAGAATTTATATATTTGCATTATTATAAATCTGTGCTCTTGAACCCTTTGAGCTGTTCCTAATGTTTAGGGGCCCTGAGAAACAAAAGGCTTGAAAAGCAGCTGGGTGGGCCTTCTTTAACCTTTGCCCTCATGAGTATTTCTGCTGTAGGAGTCCATGGGGACATGAGCAGAAGTTGAGTATTTGCGTCACTTTTTAGTTTTAGAAGTTGCTACTTAGTAACTGCAAGTGTCCCCGTGCAGGACTGAAGTCTTCCACATTAATCTTCCACATTCGAGTAAAATAAGTTCATGTTAACTCTAAACTCACCACAGTCCAGAACACATAGATGATGATGAGAGCCAGAGTGAGCACCAGGAGTCCCAGGGCCTCCGTCCCATTGGTGTAGTAGAGCTCCATGGCTCCTTGAACACACAGCCAGCCCGACAGAGACGCGAGCGGCGTGATGAACAGGAAGCAGGCCGCATCGCTGCACAGCGTCCTCCTCTGCTGCTGCATGGCTGGAGAGCACCACCACTGATGGAGAGAAAGAGGAGGCAGGAAGAGGATTAGCCTCATGTTTCCCATGAAATAGTAAAATGTCTATTTTTTAGACTGCGTCTCTTATATCAGCAGGACACGGAGTTAAGACCAACGTAAGACAGGAAATCCTCTGGAAACGTTTAGTGATCCTGCATTTACTAAGTGAAACTGGTGACATCAAACGAATACATTAAACAAATGTTTTATTTGTTCACTGTGTGATAACACAGGAGACTTTGTAGCTGCAAACCCAGTTCAGCTTTTACTTCAATCAAAGCAGAATAAACGTGTGTGGATTCGATTCGTGCATCGCTAACAGGAAGTGCTGCACCTTTCCTCCCCTGCGTGCGTGGAGCATCGCCTGAGCAGGCCTGTGCTGCTCAGTGTGTAGCTTAGCCTGGCACAGCACACGGTGCTTAATCAGCAGATTACCAGCCAAGAATGCACCTCAGAGAGCACGAGGCCACTCTCCTGTCCTCTGCAGCAAACAAGCACCGGCTAATCTGCCTCTCAGGCTAAGTGGCTTTATGACAGCGAGCCGACGGCAACAGGTTCTCCAACGTGAAGCCAACAAACTCCTCCCACTGAGTCTGACATGCCACCATTCAGGAAAAAGAGGCAGCTTCACTCTTTGCTCTGTCTGCTCTGCAGCAGGAGCCGGTGAATCCTTCTTTTTTAACGTCAATCAGCCTCATTCATCTGTCTCATCTCACAAAGATGTTTCTCTCCAGGCTGAGCGTGACGCGAGGAGAGGACACTACAGAAAGTGACAAATATATTCTCATGTTCAGCTCACGAAGCCACTTGGTTTCATTAATCCAGGTTTGAGTTATTAGAGAAGTGTGGCTGCCTCGGTCGCTAAAACCCTCTGTGAGGCCTGAGCATCAGTGTGGTGATGGCCTACCTCAGTCAGAGGCTTTGGCACGCGCTCCAGCACAAACTGGTGATGGCAGAGCTCGCAGTGGCCGCTGTCGGAGGCGGTGAGCCACTGTTCCAGGCAGCTCCGGTGCACCGAAGCCAGGCTGCCGGAGCACTCGCAGGGGGACAGCAGCTCTCCTGACGCCCGGCCTTCGTGGCAGATCCTGCAAAACTGGTCCTCACTGCACAGACACACGAACAGAGACGACAGGAAGTCTGCAAAGGCCGTTTTCTACTTTGACGTTCAGACGGTAAAAACTTTGCATAAACGAAAGGAAAGGATTCATCCTGCCTTGTAGATTTACAGGAAAGAAAAATATTAAACAGAATATTTTTCCTCTGTTTGTCTTCATATGTATAATGAAAATATATCATGACCTCTTTCATGGTGTTTTTGAATATGTGTCATCTCACTGTGATGTTACTGGATCTGAGTGGAAACGACACCGTGCAGGATTCAGGGGTGAAGCATTAGTTTGACTGGAGACTCTGAGGTAAGTCATCGAGGTCATTCTCGTCACTAACCATGAACCCTTCAGAAACGCAGCCTCTGTGAGTACTGCTGTTAACCATGTCCATTCTTTTATATCCACAGCGTACTCCTCTCCTATTGGCTGCGAGTAGCTGGATGATTCACAAACGTACACCCTGAACCCTGACGTCCACCGTTATCAGATGAAGTGGGGAAATGCATCACCAGCATATCTGCAAGGTGCATCCAGGCGGCAACATAAAGGGCCTAAAATTATCGTTTAGAAACTGCAGTTCCTCTAACGTCCAGCAGAGGCAGCAGTGAGTCAGGCCCCATAGACTTCCATGTTAAAACTTCACAGCAGAAATAAACATGTTTACAGCCGGATACACAAACTGTGTCTGTGGATCCTCCTTCATAACACCTGTACAGGGGAGGATGTTTCTATAACTCACCTGTTTAAATGGTTTTAAGCTTTAAAGTTTGCATTATTAGGGGCGTGGCCTCTTTGACTGACAGGTGGCTGTAGCTACTAGCTGTCTGCTAGCTTCACCTGGACCGTGTTTGTGCTGTTGGAGCTTTTTAACGACGTCATGTGACCAATAATATGCTGTGAGGTCACTGCACTAACAGCCCGTCTGGCTCCAGTTCTGGTAAAATTCGAGGATTGTGATTGGACGAAGCACTAATTGGCAGGTACCCGTCTCTGTGCGACGCTCCCATAAAACCCGTTTAAACTGGGTTGGTGGTTCGGGCTGTGAGTTCGTGTCCAGGAAAGGCTTCGTCACTCTGGGTGATTTCAAACGTGGATAAATCTAAACCTGAACAGTAGGCGAGCGTACGTCACAGAGGTGATGAACTTTCAGCCTCTGTGCTTCCTGCTCCGGTTACCTGTCTGTGATGGATACACACTCCGCAGTGGGCGTGTCTCCGTGATAGCACATCACTTCCTGGCTGCTGCTGTGGAGCTCTTCATCCAGCGCAGGCTCAGGGATGAACTTGACCTCCGCCACAGGACTGGACCCCCACCGGCCCACCGGATCCTCCACAGTCATATCTGCAGTACGAGGGGCCATTCACTCCACGTCACATCTGCCACACACACACACACAAATGTAAAACAGATGGAATGAAAATACATCGTGACACAAAAATAAATAAATGAAAATAAAAATATGGACACACGTGGATCTGCTTACCGTCACAAACTGACTGACAGGTTTTGTTTATAAGAGATTAAATTAATTATGAATGGAAGCTGCAAAATATGACATCATCCATCAGACTTAGGAGCTCTGAATATAAATAAATTATATTTCAGTAACTGGTCTCCCGACTCCAGTAACAGAACCCTTCATATTTACAGACAGGTTTAAAAAAAATTAACCGTCAAAGATGGAGGAGCATTGAATAGAATAGAATAGAATTCAACTTTATTGTCATTGCACATGCACAGGTGCAGGGCAACGAAATGCAGTTTGCATCCATCCAGAAGTGCTTTAGCCGTGATATAGATATATTACAATATATATATTGTATATATTGTAATATATAGATATATTGTGCTCCTATTGGTCAGCATCACAGACATTAAGGAAGTTCTGCTGACCTGCCGGTTTGTAATTTCATTTTCCAGCAGCTGTTTTCACCGATTAGCCAGAACTCAGCACCAAACACAAAGTTACGGAGCTGAAAGGTTATTTAATATTTTATTTAGGATTTTTATTTTGTTTGCTCTGCTGCCCCCAAGTGGCCAGAAATCAGTGAATTAAAGCTTTAAAGCTTTAAGTTTTCATGCAAGAAATTAAATAACCTGTCAGTGCTTGAACACATTTACACTGAGAATAAATTAGTAATAAAAAAATTAGTAATATTTCTTCTTTAAGAACAGAAAATATTTCTCTCAAGCTTTTTTAATTCTTCTAGTTATTCTATTCTTTCATTTTATCATTATGAAAAAAAGATCCATTTATTGTATTTTTTTAAATTTAGCTTTTTACTTGTTGAGGTATTTATTTTATTCTACTTTTGAGCTTCCGCTCCAGAGTTAGTCCGCTGTAAATATTGTTATTGTTCAGGTGAGGTTCAGCTCACGCTCTTCACATGAAACACGACCCGCTGCAAAGCAAAGTCTGTCACACAACGAGCAGCTTCAATGACAAGTCAAGCAGCAGCCTTACCTCCAGCCCGAGCCGACGTTAGGACCAGCTCCGTGTTTATCATCAGGCAGAGTCCGAGTGACGAGGCTTCTCCTCCTAAAGCCGTCCAGCAGATTAGAGAGGCTGACGGACGCCGGTGAGAACACCGAGGGATTAGACGCAGAGGAAAGTAAGGGCCGGGCCAGACGAATGGAAATCACATCAGACGGAGTCACAGCACCTCGCCGTACCCCCTTTAATCCTGTTAGGGGGCTTCCAGGAAGCCAGCGGA